CAAAAAATGATCAATCACGCAGTTTTTTGCGCACAATGAAGTTATCATTAGAAAGCATTCGTATCGCAAATATTACGCAAAATAATAATGGTTTTACATAAATATGCAAATTACAATGACAATGTCCGAATGATTACTCTCCTTTCTTATATCTTCCATAAAAGCAAATAAAATTATTCGTTAGCAGAAGATGTAAGTAACTTTCTCAAAGATTAAATCAAACTTTTATTCTGCTTTTTTATGAATAAAAATTAATGAATACTTGCGAGAATTGAATGTGATTATTAGAAGTGTTCAAAATTTTGTTCCCACAAATTAATTAACCATTTTTTATTGACGAAGAATGAACAAAAATTTGTTTTCATAAACATTTTTTTAAGCATTTATTTACTTATTAATTTAAATGTAATTTGCATAATTCTGTTGCCGAAGAAATAAGTATTCATAATTATTTCTAAACAATTTTTAGATTCGACTTGTTTGAATTTAAAAAAGCAGTATCACTTGCATGTGAAAAAAATTTACGCTTGAAAATGTACAAACATACAGGTATGAGAAGAATATAGTTTCGGCCAATTTCTAAGTGCATAACAAAAAGAACCACACGTAATCATCACGTTTTCTCACGTAAATTAAATTTAAACTCCATGTTGCAGACATATCTATTGCTTTCATATACATCACATATTATTTACTTATTGTGAACAGTTCTTAGTTTGAAACTAAGTTTTCATTTAAAGTGTAAAGTATCTGATTACTTCTGAAATCCAATCGTTTCCGTTTTTATTTTCCTTTATCAACAATCAATCAATCAATCAATCAATTGAACAAACCACGATAAGATCAAGATATAGAAGAAAAAGTTCTTGAATTTGAAAGATTGAAATCTTTTCACATACTTATTCCTAGAGCAAATTAAAAAACGTTAAAGTTTGGGAAATAATATATGTACGAAAAAACAAGCAACCATAGCACAAATGTATAAGCATATATCATGTACAGCTAAAAAAGTTGTAATTTGATAGGCGTTCTTTAAAACTGGTTTACATCTAATGCATTACGTTTCTCTGCCAAATTTTTTAACTACAAAACAAGCAAAATTATAGCAATAATAATAATAATAATAAAATTTTATTATCACTAGTTAATTTGAATTCAATAATAATAATAATAATATTAATATTAATATTGATAATAATGATGGAACTGATAATGAAAGAATGAAGAATTTAGTGTAGAGTTTAAATCTAGAAGATAATATATATCTGTAAACTTAGTTTAGACTAGATCAGATTACACTATTGAATAGTTCAGTATCTCTAAAACACTTCATTGAATCACTCATAGCAACTAACGTTTGTTCAAGTACCAAAAGAGTGAACTAAACTAAATTAGCTCAAATAAATGGCTGTGGATAGACTGAAGTGATGTAAAGATAGATTTAAATTTGTATTTAGAACTAGTTGCAAAATTATAAACACTTAATAAATTTGTTTAAATTATTAGAATATTTGTATCCGAAATCTTGCACATTCAATAAATAAACATAAATTGTCCAGTATAATAGAATCAAATATATGCAAGAAATTTATATTAGTCGAATTATTATATTATATTATAAGTCTCAAATGCCGGATAAGTTGGAGAAGTCAATTCACTATAAGAAAAAAATTTCGCCATTGAAGTCATTCAAGTTTAAACTTGATCTTTATTGAAGTTTAAACTTGATCTACGATTAAGAGTAACTTTAAAAATCAGAACATTAGCTAAAGTAAGTCGTGATGAAACAAGCCAAATCAACATTATTTAATATGATTTGTTCTAAAATTTTGTGTTTATAATTGATTGAGAAATACTTTAAATATTTTAAATTTCATACAGTTAGCTATAAAAACAAAAATAATCCATCATGAGATCAAAATTCCACATTCAAAATAAACTTACTAAGTAGAGCAATATGGTACTGATCAGAATCGAACGAAATTCCCATATGAGAAGATTCTATTTCAAGTGATCCTTGAAGACGTGCCTCGATGAATAATTCTGGTAATGACCCGGATAAACTTTTCACCGGTAGCAATGACATTTTTCAATAACTTCTAAAATAACTAAGCTACAAAATTGTATCCAAAGTAATGTAAGAACTGAAACCCAGGCAGATGCTACTCAGTTCTATACTGATTGAAGTCTTGTTAACTGTCAAGAATATGCATCACATCTTGCACATAATAATAATTTTCCGTCAGAGAGCATTGAGATTCACGTCAAATTGTGAAATATGCCGTCAGATAGCATCAAGATTAACGTCAAATTGTGAAATGCTTTAATTCTAAGTACGTTAAAAAACGTTACAAGGAGAAAAAATTAAATTATTAAGGAAACTCAGTCAATTTGTCAAATATAATCTGTAATTATGGAACACAAAAATTTCCGTTTCTAAAATCAACGCTTTCTTGCAAAATAATAAAAATCATAAGTATTCATGACAATAATAATAAGACTATAATTTAAATTAACTAATTAGCAATATTAATAATAACAGCAAACGTTACAATATTTAAAATTAAAATCCACGTAGAATATAAATTGGAAAAAGTGATATAAAGAAAGAGCTAAACTACGCAAGTGCTTACTTATTATACTCTTCACTACTGAGGTATTAATGCAAAAATGGAGCATAATTATGTCCCAATTTATCCAAATGTGTACAGAAAAAATCAATGAAAAAGGATCAAACCAACCAATCAATAAAGAATTACTGAGTTAATCAATATATCAAATGATTGACTGAAGGATTAATCAACAAGTTTTGAGTGATTTGAAGTAATATGCAAATAAAATTATCATTGCAGTGAAGGTAATTACAAGAACGAAAATGAAATTTACTGAATACTTGCTAAAAAATTGTATAAATTTTCGGAAAGTTCATTATTTGCAAAATAAATTTTCTAAAAAGATCAGACAAACATATAAATTGAAAGAATGAAAAAATGAATTAAAAAATGTTTATATACTCAATGTAATGTGTGCGTGTGTGTGTCCGTGTGTGTGTGTGTGTGTGTGTGTGTCTGCGTGTGCATGCGTGTGTGTATGCGTGTGTGCGTGTGCGTGTGTGTGCATTTGACCGACTTGCAAAGGTTAATAAAACATCCAATTTTTCCCCTAAACATTTGACTCTTAACAAAACATCTTGCCAGTAGCACACACACACACACACACACACACACATACGCAATTAGTGAAGATAATATATGATTGCACGCTAATGCATTCAAAATCATAACATTATTCTGTTACATCTAAAAGTGAAAAAAAAATTTATTAAGCAAGCAAAAATCATAACTATTTTTTACAACTTTTTCAAGTTTTAAAAAATTTTCATTCATTTTGCGTCAACGAATTAATTAGCAAAATGCAATTGACCTCATCTAAAAAGGTTAAATTGAAATGATCAAGAATCAGAATAAGTAAGAGCATTCAGCGAAATAAGATCATATTTTATTGATATCAATCACTGATCAGATTGATCCACTCACAATCCCTAATAAATAGTTATGAATACGTAAACCAATACCCGTAAAATGTAACCATAGCAATGTGATTTTTTATCCCTTTCTGGTAATATTAAATGTTGAATTTGAAATTTGGAGGGTTTGTAGCACTTTTCGAGCTCAGAAAAAAGGCTAGTAAATTATAATTTAAATTGAAAATAAGCTTTAAAAAACATTTCATTATATGATTTAATTAAGTTCAAAAAATACATAATATTTTGCTTCTAAAAAATGCTTTTTTACTACGCACTTCAAGCACTGATTTAAATTAATTTTTCAAACGTGATAATTTTAAATACTTATACATCATTGATTATCAGAGTATTAAATGATTAAAATTACTGTAACCTAAATGTATTACAAAGTGAAATACAAAAGTAAAATGTGATTATTTTTAATAGCGAACAAATAATCAACGAAAGTAATATAAAGAAGGAGACACATAATTAAACGATGAATTATGTTACGAATATGTCACGTAAGAGCATTAGATTAAGTCACGTACGTAAGCATTTCCTAAGTATTGCAATAATTTTGCATTTGAGAGTATATAAAAATGAATAACCTTGAGAAGCAATTTCTGTTGCAAAGCAATTCATTTTATAGAGGTTTTCAGCAGATGAAAAAATTTACAAGGCAAGTTGGCGTTTATTTTTCTGCTATTATTATTGCTATCAATTATCAATCCAATCAATAACTGATAACAAACTGCTTTTTATGAGATGATAACGACACTGTTAAAGATTGTAAGCTAAAAATTATCCAAAAACAACACTAATGAGAGTTGTTAAGAATGCAAAGTAACAATGGATTACTCAAATAATACTATTAATACTTAAATAATATATAAATCATTTATTATCAAATTCGAGTACTTGAAAAATTTTATTCACTCTTTTGTTTATCTTTGAATTAATTTGAAATTATTAGAATGAATGAATATCGTACTTTATCACACAGTAAATAATACTGGAAATTAATTTATTGACAGTTATGCGAAATCATTAACAAACGGAATAAATCAACGTAAGTTCTGCGTAGTCAATTAACATTCTCTGCATTTAATCAATAAAAATAATTTTTGCTCAATCAATAAAATTTATGATCATAGCAAATGTCTTCCATATAATAAACGTGTTTGACTAAGCGTTGATTATGAAACGCACAAACTAAAGTTATCATAGTTCAATAAGATCTATCTAGTCTCGAATATTATCATTAATTTAGTACTGAATATCTTAATTCACTGTTGATAAATAAATTATTATTATAGTAATAATAATACGAAGCAAAACAAGTCAGTACTTACTTACTTTATTGGTAAGCAATAACTCCTACACAACCTGTTTTACTACTTTTCTAAGCAATATTGAAAATTTAAGCCTTTCAAAAGTTATGACTTACCATAGAAGATTGCAAATAAATCACTCGTACGTCATTATCACTTGCAGTAAATAGACGTGAATTCTTTTTTAAGTGAACTTTGTAGCAAATTAAAGTTCAATTCACTCGTTCATTACGTACTGTAAGTATGCATTACGCAACGAATAAATACAGTAAAATTACAAAATTAATAACAAAGTCTTTTCGAATTTTTTCAACAATTTTCTTAATTTACGTAAAATTGACTATATTCGCAACATTTAAAATATTTATGCCAATTACAATTTTGCATTTCAGCAACAATTTATTCCTTTTCTTCATATTTATATTTTGTACTTTAAATAATTATGAAAATGTATTTTCTATCATAAATTATCATGATCAAACTTCAAAACTGTACAAATGCTAATAGCAGCAATGTATGCTAGAGTTCATCAACTTGTAATTTATATTTAAAAATATTATTATAATTTTATAATATAGAAAATATTGCTCACGTTGAACTGAATAATTCTGTTGTATAAAAAAACAAAATTATCATAATAATTTTGGCTATATTGTACTCATCACTTTTCATTACGAACAAATTTACGTCTTCTTACGTATTCATTTTAACCACGCAAAAAAGAGGTAGAGTTCATCAACTTGTAATTTATATATAAAAATATTATACTTTTATAATATAGAAAATATTGCTCACGTTGAACTGAATAATTCTGTTGCATAAAAAAGCAAAATAATCATAATAATTTTGGCTATATTGTACCCATCACTTTTCATTACGAACAAATTTACGTCTTCTTACGTATTCATTTCAATCACGCAAAAAAAAGGTTAAAAACAAAACAAAAAAGTAGTATTACTTATAATGCAACAGTTGTAATTGCTTAATTTTAGCGAAGTAACAGAAATGAAATCTAAACAGAATTATGCATAGAAGAAAGATAAAAATTGAGCAATAATAAAAAAATAAGAATAAAATTGCAAAACTTCCCACACAGACACAGACACACACACACACACTCACACAGACACACATAGAGCACCACATGTATACATTCCTAATTGCTCAGGCCTTTTTCGAAAGGCCTAGCAAAATATTGACCAACGTTAAAAGTAATACACGATGCTTTTTGCTGCTTCGCATAGGAACTGTTGCAACGCAATTTCTGGGAGTACATGAGTGCTCGCAATATTAGCAAACACTTTAGCACAGCACAAACAGCACTGATCAATCTGCGTTGATCGATTCGACTAATCAACACAAATTTAACTGTAGTTTGCTTTTTATTCAATCCCAAGCCTCACTTGCTATCATTATTGACAGAGAAACAAACATGTAAGAAATCATGGATCGAATCTTTTATTGTTCAAGTTCAGATTTTTCACTGATCGAACTGAATAAAAATATGGCAAAGTGCCGAGAGACTTTTTAAAAAACTCAGTCATCTAATACTGTGAAAACAAAAATACTCATCTTCTCAAAAACCACGATTCAGTTCATTGCTAGTTAAAATCAATCAGTCCATCTTAAAACTATCCACATTCATCTCTCGTAAACCTTCACTAAAACTGATACTGAAATAAGAATCGATACGGAATATTTACCTGATTTTTTCTATCTATACATGCAATAACTGACTATGCCTAGTTTAATATATAAAAACAACAATAAAAACAATCAAACAACCATAATTTGTAACCTCATTACATATGTACATAGAACTGCCACTTAAAATATGCAGTAATTGATGCTTAATATTATTGATTTTTGACACCGCTTCAAATTTATGATTTAATAATGAATTCTATAAACCATTTCACGAAAGTAGAATTATCTCTCTGTTTCTTCGATCAGCTTTGTCATAACTTTTTTTTTGACGTATGCATAGAATATATAGAAATTGTACTAAGATGTATCCTAATTATTTCGACGACCGCTTAAGGCTGATGAAGCACCTTGTAACTGTTTCATCATGTTTTGTAAACCACCCATACCCCCCATTTGCTGCAGCACTCGTGGATCCATCATTTTCGCCATTTGCTGATTAAGCTTTTGAAGTTGAGATGGATTAATATTCTTAGTGTTCATGTCACCGTTCTGAAATGACTACTAGCAATTAATTTCACGAGAGAACAGACAAAAAATAACATAAAGTATGAAAAGATGCATTATTTGTCTATCGACTGACATCTTGATGACTGCCAGCGAAATTTTGTGGGAAATTTTCGTCGTGTATTGAAAACAACATACATTGAATATGACTAGCAAAAAAAAGAAAAAATTAAGCCAATAAATATCCCCTTTTCTCTTCATTAATACATTTCAGATTTATATTTCTAACATAATCATAACACATCAATCTCCATTATACCTGCTCAACAAATATCATGATAATAGTACCCTTCACATAAAAGAATAAACTACCTTGAAAAGGCCTTTCATACTACCCATTTTTTTAACCATATCAGCAAACTTTTTATACTGCGTAAGCAATTCCTTCACTTCGCTTGCTGCTGTTCCACTCCCTCGAGCAACACGCTGAATCCGACCAGGTTCTTTCGAAAACAGATCGTTCGCTTTCGGATGATCCAGTTCTAAAAAGAAAGGTAAATATTTCAACAGCAAATTCAAGTATTTATGCATATCTTGCTGCGTAAGGAACTGAGAAACTAACAGAAGATTAGTGTCTACTATTATCCGAATTGAACGGGCCCATTTTCATATTTTGAAATTATTCATATATATATATATATATTTAAAACTAAGTTTTGGAAATGGAGTCAAAAAATCAAAACACCTATGATAATAACCTGCATCAGACATGCTGTCCATTATGGTCATCAGTCTTTTCAGCCTCGACTGCGACTCCTGTTCGTTACCCTTTGACATAAAATCTGGTCCAAATCCAGGAATCATGCTCTGAAATCTGTGAAAATAAGAAATGAGTACATAAGCACAAACAAGTGTGATGATTCAAAAGACTGAATACGTTGGAAATAATATTTCTCTTTGCTCAAAGTAGAAGATTGGTGCCTACCATTATCTGATTGAACGGGCCCATTTTCATGATATTTTGAAATTGCTCGTACATATCCCGAAGTGTGAACATACCTTGAACAAAAATCTAACCTTAAAAACTATAATACAGAAACAAGGATACAAGAAAGCTTTCAAGCAAATAAATTTGAAACATACACAACTACAAACACATACTGGACACTACTATTATTGCATAATTTCCGATAAAAGATATTTTCATTTTGAAAACCAAATAATACACACACCATGCTTTAGTCTCTTGATTAGTTCTTCGTTATCTTCGATACCAATTTCATTGACTTTCTTCACTAAACCTTCAATATCTCCCATGCCAAGTAGTTTCTGCACAAACGGTTTTACTTCAAATGATTCAAAGTCATCAATATGCTCACCAGTACCAATGAATATCACAGGAGAATGTGTCGCAGCTACGCTACAAGTGAAATAATTTCAATGAATTTAATAGTATAATATTATAACAGCTTGGTTTTATTTAAGAAAACATACGCTGATAAAGCTCCACCTCCTTTAGCATGACTGTCCAATTTTGTGATGATTACTGAGCCAACATCAACAGTTTCACTGAAAGCACGAGCTTGAGCTTCACAAGCCTGTCCAATTGAAGCATCCATAACGAAAACTATATTGCTGGGATTCTAGAGTGTAACAATTAGAATAGTGTATACCACTTACTTCATCGATTTTATGCATAATTATGCTGACGGCACAAATTTTATGCGATTTCACTGAATTATATTTTTCAAAATAGTTCGTCTCTTTTTAAATATGCTCACTCAGAATTTCTCTCCATTTCAGAATTTTTGTTTCGTAGTACAAAGAAAACCAATCCTGCGTTATCAAAGTATTCTGTTTTTAACTTTTTAATAAACTTGATAGTGGTTGACCATAATTTTTCCACTAAATCAGATAAAAAATTACCACTGCATTTGATACTTGCAACATTTCTTCAAAAAGAGACGCTTCTTGTTTATGCCTGCCAGAAGTATCAACAATTATAATTTCAAAACCATCTTCTTTAAACTTATCTACACCATTGGCAGCTATAGTGACCGGATCCATTTCTGTATAACTGGAATAATTATTTTCTCAACAAAATATAAGCTTCGTTTTAATGGAATTAATAGAGACACAACTAAGAAGAGAAATATTTTATTAATAAAAGTTTTATGATTATCATAATTCTAGGTCGGTTCATTTTATTTTGCGACTTAAAACTGTAAAGATATGAAGTCTCAAAAAAATAATAAATGACCTTCCATAAAACGGTATTCTTGCTTTAGTAGCATTCTGCTTCAACTGATCAAATGCACCAGCACGGAATGTATCAGCACAAATTAAGCATGTTTTCCAACCTTTTCTTTGATAATAATAAGCCAACTAAATTAGATCAACTTAAAGTTGTGAAACTTAGACTAAAACTTCACCAAAGAACTAAGTAAACTCAGAAAAAAATATCGTTTATTTTTAGAAAATATACCTTAGTACATGTTGTTGTTTTACCAGAACCCTGTAAGCCAACAAACATATAAATATTTGGCTTTCCCTTGGTAGGCTGGAATGGTTTTATTCCTGGATCTACTAATTTCATAAGTTCCGTAAATACACAACGCTGGATTAATCGTCTTTTATTGATACCACCTGCCATTTCATCAAAATCCAGGGTTTTTCTGAACAAAAAAAAGCAAGATAATACATTTTTATATACATATCATGGATGATTGTGAAAAAAAATTATCTGAATAGAGTAATTTAAATACTTTTGATTTTATTTACAGTACTATAACTTAAGCAAAAGAACCAATAACACTATTTAAACAATCTGATATTAATTTCAGAGATAAGCAAATAACAACTACAATTCTCTTACAATAAAATAAGAGATGAATATAAAATATGAGATTGTTTATTTTCTGGAACAAAACACAGGAACACATTTCCAACAAACTTAACACTCAATTGCTTACTTTACATTGTCCTTCAACTGCTTGACAAGCCGTATATTGACATCAGCTTCCAGCAATGCTGCACAAACTTCTTTAAGCATAGCATTGAGTTCATCTTCATTGATAACAGTAGCTTGTCCAAGTTTACTGATTGCATGACGAATTTTCCTTCCCAAATCAGCTAATACCATATTTTATTTCGTCTAGAAATGAAATTTTTAATTTTTAACTGACAAATTAACGAACAATTAAAAAAACATTGAAATGTGATTGCAAGATTTAATGAAGTATTCTACAAAATGAAACATTATTTTCATACGATAAATAAAATAATTGATGCTAGATTCTTTTTTTCAACTATGTATACAAGTAAATTAATTTTTAAATCGTAGTGTACAATTTACCTAGACTGCTTCCTAGTTAGAATAGTTGTTGACTAGTACATGAACAAGAAAATAACTTAGAATGGTGATTAAATATCACAAACAACCACTGATTACGAATTACTGCAAGACAACATATCACTATATGTCATTGTCAACCACTTGTAAACAAACATTGAAGAGCAATTTAAGCACGGCCCGACAACGCTCGTTATTAAATCTCATACCATTTATTTTAAAATTTTTCGCAAATTATATTTATTTTTGCATAAATTGTCAATACCAACATATATTTAGTCATTATCCAAAGTGTATCTAACTTAAATATCAAGTACTTGATTAATTATGAGGATTAATTACTTTGTTTGATTTAAGTGAAATACTATCTACAAATTACCAATACTAATTGTTGTCATTTGATATTTTAAATATTGTAGTACTCGATAATTGTACTATTTCGCTTATATCTTCGTGGTAAAATTAATTTGAAAATTTATTTTGAAAACAATAATAATTCATCTTGTCAAAGTCAACAATTTGAAATAAAGTTAGCATGAAATGATAATTTTTTTATGAATTTCACTCCCAAAATATGAATACGAAAAATGACTGTTCAGTTCGCAGCTTTATATTTTTTATCAGACTTATGTGAAGATTTTTGCTTTATGTTCAAATTCAAATTTTTCAAATTTTCAAATTCAAATTTTTCTTCGATCAGCAATTTAATTTCAAATTTTTCATTTGAAATTATAATATTAATTTCATATTAATTTCACTTTATTTTATTGTAACAATTTTGACGTTTGAAAAATTTTGCTTTTAAATTAAAGTCAGTTTTATTTTGAATAAAAATCTCCCTATTCTATTTTATGTAAAGATTTATAGTAACAAATATAACTTCTTCTGTTTCAGCTGTAACAGTTTATCGGTTGATTATTTATAAATAGAATAATAATTGCAGAATTAATTACTTCTTGATACGCTGCGCAATAATTAATAGTTTCAATGCAAAAGTATATTAGTAGTTAAGAAAATAAGCATATTTGTGAGATTGTTGCATTTCAAGGAAGAATTCTAATAAAATGACTTTATGACTTATGCAAAAAGTATATCTGATTAAGTTAGGAAGTATTTAATCAAAAAATTTAAATTAGATCTTCATTTAAAAAACAAATATTGTTGATTAAAAAAAAGCACCTAAATTGATGTTTATCGTAAATTTTTTTCAATAAATCAACTTGATTTTAATTACTTAATTTGATTCTGAAGTTGCACTATTTATATTTTCAATAAAAACGATTGCATTTACATCTCCCATAAAATTGAATCTGAATTAAAAGTTGCTAATAATTGGAAATGGTTGAATATTTTGGAGTAAACATTAGTGCTTACGGAAGTTTAATTAAGTTAGACTCAAATTTTTTTAAGTATTTAATTTGCTGTTTTCGAATTAATAATGATATTTAAATTAAAAATACTTATTTTCTTATGTTCAAGTACAAATAAGTCGCTATTATTCAAAATTTATTGACAAAAAAAAGTGCGCAAAATAAATAATAATCAAATGATTGGGTCATTTCGCAGGAATTGAAAGCGATTCGAAGAACGGATTGAAGGAGTCAAACTGCCTCGGCCACTGTCCTTACCAATACTTCTTACACTTGACCTTCGGTTCTGTTTCTGCAATACCGTATAATTTAGTTCACCGCTAGACATCATTTCTTCTTATTTATTAGATCTCATAACAAAGTCTTTCCTTTATCTCTCAAATGTTATAACAGTTGAACATAGGTCACAAACCCTTGACCCCCCATATCATGTACTTTCATACTGTATTTCATATATTATTATGTACCATTTTGTCCACCTTTAAAGTTCTTTCAAAGATTTTAATCATACAGAACAAATTAAAAAATTTTCTTAATCAAATTTTTTTATTTGTCACTTACAAAAGAACTTGTCCATACTATTATCCGTTGAAGTTATAACTATAAAAAGTTTCTCGTAATTATCATTTAGTTAACTTTACATATGAATGAAATATGCATATTCAAGGTATTTTTGTTCTTTCTTCGATTACAGTAATCAGTTACGCGAGTCTCAAACGAGCAATATGACGTTGCGTGGGATGTTGACGGTTCCATCATAATATTTGTTTCTGTAGTAACATTTTCTAAAATATCACACATTCCAGGTGTTACTGATACTTTTGGTCGTTCATTATTATTCGTCGATCGTTTTTCAGGTAAGATGCTTTTGCGATTGCTTACTTCCTTCCGTAATGCTGACAGTGGCAGTGATCTAAAGATTACTCTTATTTATTTAATAATTATTAAATCAAATAATTATTAATAATAATTTTTGAATAACTATTAAATTAATTTAATCTATTTTCCTTTTATCATTTTTCATTCATTTACAATTTAATAATAATACTATTTATTTCACAAATTTGACATACTATTTTTACTTTTTATTGCTTTTTTAATAAAAATAAATAAAGATAAATAAACAATGTATTGCTTGTATTTACTTTTATAAAAAATTTTATTAAAAGTGAATAAAGATAAAGTAAACCTCATCACTACATTGAGGTTTACGTTATCTCTACCTGCTTTTAATATATCAAACACAATTAAATTACAAAATTTAACATAAATTTTAGTCATCCCTTTGTAAAATAATTATATTTTTTTCTGCAAAAACAAATTTTAATAAAATCAAAACAAAAATTAACTTACCTGTAAACGTCATAATTCTTAAAGGCCTTTTGCAAATCCAAAAATGAATTCCGTCTTGAAGTATTTTTCTAAAACGCTCTCAAAAACGATACTGTTATGAAAATAAACAGTTTACTACATATTTAATTCCTTCAGAACTTTATAAATTTTGAGAGCGAACCATGCATTTTAAAAATAAATTATTATGATCTAAAACTGATGAATATTTTTAAAAATTTTCTTGATTGCATATGATAATAATAGTAAATAACGAATATAGCAACGATAAAGAATGACTATCATAATAGTAATTTATATAATAATATCATTAATAATAATAATAATAACAATAATGATAATAATAATAATAATAACAATAACAATAATGATAATAATAATTAATTCATTAATTTATTAATAACGTCATAACAGGAAACAATAGTAAAAGCAGTAAGCAGTAATAATGATGAATAATAATAATAACGATGATAACAGATTAAAATGAAAAGATTTAATTCTCGAGAATGAAATTGAGTACAATTATTGTTTGAAAACTTACAGGAATCATTT